TTTCTCATGTCAAAAAAGTAAAATGGAGACCACCTCAAGGGAACCGAGTGAAGACATTAATGTGGACGCTGCAATCAAAGATCACTTGCCGTTCATAGGTGTGGGCGTGGTTGTTCGTGATGCATTTCGCTTAGATGGGAGAAACTCTCCGCACTTGGCCGAATGTCTAGCAGTTCGCCAGGGCATCCGGGAGCTCTACAGGGGTGGTTTCACAAACTGGGTGATTGAATCGGATGCAGTTAATGTAATCAATGTAGTTCGGAATCTGATTTTAAAAACTCTTGAAGCTTGATGATGTTCGCGAAGTTATGGGCGCGTTTGTTTCGGGTTTTAAAAGCGTTTTTCACGTTTTCCAATGAGAAAAAATTGAAAACAGAAGGAAGACTGTGTTACCAAAATAAAAAACAAAAACGTTTTTGTATTTTTCTCAAAAATTGATGCTTTTTTGAAAACAGATTAAAGTCGTTTTCATTTTTTTCATTTACATTTTCTCCGGCTTACCTCTATCCCTCTCGCCGTTCTCTTCTCTCCCTCTTTGCCGTTCTGATTGTCCAACATCACCATATTTTATTTTATTTTTCTAAAACCCTTTTATAATAAATAAAATAAATAATAATAAATGCGCGTGTATATATGACATGTTATAAAACATATGAGTAGGCACATTATATCTATATGGCATGTTATATGCATGGACATATAATATATAACTATCAACATAAAATATAAATATATGCAATCGACTATTGAGATGGATTTGACCGGGTCCCATGGAAATTATAAATCACAACCAAATCGAATAAATAAATAATTACAATAATTATTTTCTTCCGTTACATCAACGGGTCTTCGATTTTTGAACTCTTTATTCTTTGGCTTCGTAGACATATAATATATAATTATCAACATATATATGCAATCGGCTATTGAGATGGAATTTGACCAGCTCCCGTGGAAAATATAATTACAACCAAATTGAACGAATAATAATTACAACCAAATCGAATAAATAAATAATTACAAAAATTATTTTCATCTGTTACATCAACGGGTCTTCGATTCTTGAATTCTTCGTTCATCAACTTCGTTCTTCATCTTCGGGTCAGATTTCACCTTCTTCGGGGTCCGAAACTCTTCCGAGTCCTTTAGCACGCAAAATAAGGGTTTCAAAAACCCTCAAACTGGTTCAAAGTCCGATGGCTGCTCCTAGTGCGCGCTGGTCGAGTCTGGGCCCACGCTGGCCGTGCGATGCGCGCCCGCGCTGGTGCTGTTGGCGCGCGCGCTAGGTCGGCTGGCGCGCGAGCGTTGAGGTTGATCTGGGCAGATACGAGGTTGGTGGTCCGGGGCTGCATAGGGTGTCTTCCGGGCTTCTTGTGCATGAAAATTTGAACCCTAATCTACCCAAAACCCTAGAATTACAATAAGTCTAATCCCAAATAAAATTACAAATAATTGTAATTGAACGATTTTAATGCGATCCATGGAACCATATAATTAACGACCAAATTCATCATCCATACATTCATCATCATGAATCAAATATAAACATCCATAAATGCAAGTGCCTACCCATCACATACATACATAATTAATTTTTGATTATCAAATAATCGGAGCATAAATTAATATCGTCTATAGACCGCTCTGATACCAATTGTTGGTCTCCGAATCGAATTCGGATGCAGAAGCGCGGTGGAAGCGGATCGTGTATAACAAAAATTTTCATAAAACTTTTGAGATACTCTATAGATTATATTAATTTATGCACGAATAATTTAATCTCATTAACTTATATATATCAAGAACTCAATCAGGAAAAATACCTGGAAGCCGACTCGGATGATAACTTGAGTTCTTTGACCACGAATAGTCCTTGCTCCAATCTTTGTGTTTAGAAAACCAATGTCTTCCACATCAATTCCTAGAATCCACGAAGACGTGTGTGTAGGCACACATGAGACAAAACGGGTTACAATAAACACTCAAATTTCCACAAACACCATCACATGCACGATGTGGAATTTTTGGAGAAAAAATGTTTCCTTCTTTCTATATAGAAATTTCGGCCACCTCTAAAATTAGGGTAAAAAACCATTCTAAAAATTGTCTCAAAAATAGTATTTATAGAGTAGAAGTCAAACTTCTAGAAGGAATCCAATCTCTATCTCTAAGATAAAGCTCGTTAATTATCTCCTATTTGAATTTTAAACAAAATCTCCTCTTTTCCTCTATCCTATATGGCCGGCCATTCAAAGGGGATTCTCATCCCTTTGTGGCGCCAATATCAGATAGGGAAGGAAGAGAAAATCATCCTTTATCCTGTAGTCCAATTTTGACTCAAATTCAATTTATAATTTAAGTCAAACTTAAATTAATTTGAATTCTAAATTAAACAACTTATCAAATAAGTTTAAATGGATAAATCTAGATGTGTTCAAATTCAAATTTAAAAAATCACATTATTTAAATAATAATTAATTCTCAATTAATTATTTTCGAGTATTTAATTTATAGAATTCCTTAATTCTAAAATTTCCCATTTTACCCTCTGTGTCTGGTAGAATTACTAGGACGACGCGAGGACTAATGGACCTATAATCCCGAGCTCCAATAAAATTAATAATCAATTAAACACTTTAATTAATTAATTAATTATATTAATTCCAATAGTTACTCCACTATAAACTT